TGCTTTGTTAATATAAAAACAGAAAGGTAAATGAAAAATTAAACTTAAAAAAAAAAGAAAATACACGATCATACAGCGAAGATAACAGATATGCACTGTTGGCCTACAGAAAACAGGATATGCCCGAGGACAAACAAAGTGTGGCATGCCGAGTTGGCCGGGCCATCAAGTGTTGCAATAAATTTTAAATCGCCGAGAGCTACCAACAAACTAACGTAATAATATATACACATACACACATACATGCAAACATTTGCACAGAGGCAAGTATGTATGTGTATACATAGCAGCTTTACTTGCTTAATAATCACCCATACATACATACTTTTTTCTGATCATATGCATGCTTGGCACGTTTTGTCAACATATCACATATAAAGACCCACAATACATGAGTGTATGTGTGAATGTACAATATATACGTATATTTGTCTAGTTATGCTGCTGTGTGTGTTGCAACTTTTTGCTTTGTTATTGGCACACTTAACTAAACTCTCTCCAGCGTTTGCCATTTCCCGTGACAAACTCATAGCTACGTACATACATACATACACATACAAATATTCTTCAGGTGGAAAAATATTTTGCGACTGTCACGTTGTTATTATGATTTGTTGCACGTGGCGCAAATATCAACACTTCTCTTTATTTGCCTTTTGCTTTTTTTCTTTCTCATCTTTGGTGTCATCAAAAAGTAGCCTCGCCAATCCACAAGTGAAAGTGAGTTGTGAGCATAAATATTTAAAGATTTATTTCCTTCTATTATAAAGCTATGAATTACAGCAAGAGCAAGATTAATATTTACGCCAGGCTGGGCAAAGAGGGCATCTTCGGAAAAATTTAGTCTCCAGCCTGCTGATCGACTTCGCCGGGGCTCGAAATATGGTTGTCTGTAGTACATCAAGATAATTGGCTGTCCCCTGATGGAAAAACTCAAAACCAGATCGTTCATGTTATCATAGACGGAAGACATGTCTCCAGTGTTCTTGACGTACGTACACTTCGAGGACCTAACATCGATTCCAACCACTATCTCGTCGCAGAGAAGATGTGCATCCGCCTCTGTGTATCAAAAAACGGTCGTCAACAAACACAAGGAAGGTGCGACGTCGAAAAGCTGCATCACAACAGACTACCGAGCGGTTTGCTAATCGACTTGCACTCCTGCTCTCTACGAGCACTTGTCAGCAATTCTGCAAAGAACATTTTGGGACGGCATTTCAAGCTCCCCAGGTACAGCCGCAAATGAAACAATTGGATTTCAGGAAGGTACGATGAGGACTGCTGTGTCGCAGTGGAGAGAAAACAGACTGCCTACCTCGCAACCTTGCGGTCGACCACAACACGTACGGGATGGGATAGATATCGAGAGCTGAAGAGGATAGGAAGACGCATTTGCAGACAGAAAAAGAAAGCAGTCGAAATGCTTGGCTTGAGTACGAAGAGCTTGCAACTCTGGCCGACAAGGGTAATGTAGGAAAATTTTATAAAAAGGTACGACGGCTTACAGAAGGTTTCAAGACCGGTGTAACCTCCTGCAGGATATAAAGAGGTAATCTATTGACGGATGCCCAGAGTATATTGAATGTATTTCTTTAACCTGCTGAGTGGTAGTGAAAACGAAACACCTGGAAGTGGTGAGCCCTCAATCCCAATAGATGACAATGGAACAGACGTTCCGCTACCTGACTATGTCGCGGTTCGAATAGCTTCATAAACATCAAATCAGCTGGAGCTGACGGCTTACCGACAGAGCTATTCAAACACGGCTGTGAAGAGCTGACATGGTGCATGCATCATCTACTTTGAAAAATATGATAGAACGAAAACACTAAAACGCCGCTACGTATAAATTTGGTATTAACGCAGAACTTATACAGCTATGAAACTAACGTTAAGCACCACCAAAAAACTATGTCACATCAAGATAGAGAAAAACATCTTCGAGCCGTTTGATATCAAACGTGGTTTCAACCAAGGTGACTGCTTATCGCGTAGCTTTTTTAATCTTTTGGTTTAGAAAATAATAAATAGATAAAGTACAATCTTCTCTAAGGGTATTTACCTGCTGGCGTACCCCGGTAATGTTGGCCTCAACTACCGCACCGTAAGTGCCGCTTTCTCCAGGCTGTGTAAGGAAAAGCGTAAGGGTGTATGGGCAGTGAACGAAGCCAACGCAAAATATCTCCATTGTATTAGCGGGTCAGCTTCGACCTCACTCTTAAGAGCGAAGTCACAGATGACTTCATTTATCTTGGAAGCAACATTAACGGTTACAATAATGTCTGCCTTTTAACTTAACGCAAAATTTCTCTACCCAACAGGTGTTATCTCGGACTGAGTCGGCAATTGAAAACTAAAAGTTCTCTTTTGATCACACTTCACAAGTTGCTCATCATTCTTTCCTGCCATAAGACGAGGAGACATGGACGATGACAACATGTGATGAGTCCACGTTGAGAGCTTTTGAGAGAAAATACCGCAGCCAATGAAACGTTTGACTGTACGAGACATACAGCGAAATTTACACAGTTTAGTGAATAAGGAGACTGCTGCTTAGCTCAGTAGGTGCGGATGTATGAGAACCGAGTCACAAACTTTGACCTTGGCGGAAGACCGACGATCGTTGATGGTAAGTGATTGGAGTGGAGTCTCATAGCTTCTGCATGATTGTTTATTTTTTCTAAAGGCAGTGACCACTAGTACGCCAAGTAAATTCGTAAATTTTGTCCTTTTTTTCTTCTCTACATAATCACCATTGATTTCAATGCATTTTTTAAGCCTAAAAATCCACTTCTGAGGACAGTCTTCAATTACTTGCCTTTTAAGCTTATCAAGTTCAGCATCAACCACTTTTATTACCTCCTCGTTGTTTTTAAAACCATTTACTTTTAATTTTTTTTTTTTCATTTTTGGAAATAACCAGAGCTCACAAGGTGCTATATCCCAGGACTATTTTGCTGGACATGCTTCTTTAACCCCAGACATCGTGGTACCCATCGAGCAGATTTTCTCGTGTATCCCAGACGATTACTTAATATTCTCGATACAGCCGTGGCATCCAAGCTCAATTCAATGGCAATCATGTGCCAATCGTGGGTCTTCGTCAATTTCGGACTTCATCAGAGCTACAGTGACGCCATCACTGAAGGATTTTGGTCGGCCCTCTCGAGGCTCGTCCTCTACGCTGAAATGTGCGGTACTCAGAAATTCGGCATTCACTGAATGTTTTTATTGGCTGTAAATTACGCCGAAACCCGAAGAAAATCACATGGCGAATTTCTTTTTGCGTTTGTGATGGAATTTCGTCTGGCCTATCCTTAGCTAACTTGCGTTTTCTCGTCTTAAAGTTTAGCTGATCGTTCAAAACGAAAACAATTGAACAAATGGAGAGACGTATAATTCATACTAAGACGCCTCCGAACGGCTGATGGGTTTTAAGGAGGAGCTTTGATTTTCATATCCGAAATACACTCGGAGGGGTAGACATTTCCTGCCGAGTGGCGATCGCAATTAGAAAATTTAACTTAATTAATTTTCTATAACTTTTGAATGTTGGTCGCACGGAGATTTGAGTCCGGATTCTGTAGTCTATACTTCTTGGCAAAACAGACAAGTTCAGTCACTTCTTCTGTTGCTGCATTTAAGAATCCAGGTATCAGGCCTTACGGAATTCTTTCGAACTTATCCTCGGTCACGAGCTACGTAGGGCACCAATTGGCAGCCAATGATGAATGCCTTCCAATATATACCAATTGAATTTACGCTGTAGGCATGAATTCTTCATTCAGCATCGACAATTCTGTTGCATAAAAATTGAACAGGAAGACATTTCAACCTATATTTAAGTACAATTCAGTCCATCAATGCCATATTTGGAACCGTTAGGACATTACTAAGTACACTTTTAATGTCAAGAAGACCGAACACAGCAATTTTCATGCACTGGAGGGCTTTTTCCATTCAAAGAAGCATATAGACAAGTCTTCATCGATCAACATTTACAATGTCAATGTAACCCCTGCGGGTTAGGGGTTTAAGAATTTACCCGCGGTAATGCATGCCTGTCATAAAAGGCGACTAAAATCCAATTCTTCCCGCGGCAGTCGGGTCTTTATACCGGAACGACCCAGATTTTTATCCGGCCAAGGACTGTGAGTCCCGCAACATTCCCCAAAAAGTACTTTGGGGATTATTCTTGCTGTTCCAACAACAACAGTGCCCATGCAAGTCCTTGGAAAGAGGGAAGTGATAGATCGTAGTTCTTAGGTGTAAGTCAATCAACCTTTCCGGTCGCGTTCGGCAATAAGAAATATGTGTGTTTCTCCTGACCTTCGGAACGAGGGCCAAGCAGACTGTACTCCATATCCTGTGCGCATGACTCATACATTTTAGCAGCGAAGGATGAAGCTATTTGTCTCACACTCTTACTGCTTTTCCAGCCGTGCTGATATGATGCCGTCAGGTACCTTAACGGTTTAAAACAATTTCATAGTCTAAGGCCAAGCGGTAACCATTCAGAATGTCGGGTAAAGATATACAATCCATATTCACTTCCAGAGAAATGCTTTCCGCAGGGGTTACAAGAAAAGTGAGCAAGAGACAATTTCCAGCACCTTCTTTATTTATTTATATAAAATAGAGCTTACAACATAAATACTATAAGTTATTTGTTCGGGAACTATAGCTACTAGGCCTTAAGCTCAGCACCTTCTTACTGCTTATATTATATGTAATTCACCACTTCGTCCTTTGGTTATCCTAAAAGAATAGAGTTTCTTCCACAACATCGTCTAAATCTAAGGAAATGAAATTTCAATAGATTTAAAATCGCATTACTTCCGACTGGCAATGTCAGTGCTTCAGTGATATCCTGTAATGCGCATGTCTCTCCAAAACGATTGTTATTGCCACCATCGCGAGCAACAGTGAGGCTTTCCTGACATTTCTGCTATTGTCTATGAATGAAATCAGGTGCGAGCGACAACGACAAACGAACGTGCACTTCAAGTCGAAGGCAACAAAACGCGGAAGTGAAAAAGTGAAAATTAAAGTAAAAATTAAAATAAATGAATAAATTTTGTGTGCAAGTGATAAAGGCATAAAGCAAACTAAATTGTTGAAGTGAAGCGTTTTAAGTTTAAGGAAATTAACTTATAAACCAAAAAGCAGTGAAAGACTGAAAAAGGTATTTGTGAAGGACTCAAAGTTGCAGGACCATTTTCTTGGGACTGCAAGGACAAACAGTCACCGAATATTCTCAGTTGGATAATTTCAAATTTCTTGGGAAGAAAAGAGTTATTTGTGACTCCAAGCATAAAAGCGCTGATAAATGATTTCACTTCATGTCAAAATTTATATAATCCATACAAATTACAGTTGATTTGCAAACACATTTGGCGGTGCCTATTGATTTTTCAAGTGACACCAAGTAGAAGCAGACTTCTACGGCCAGGACTCGCACACTTACATACACACAAACAATTGGATTATGACGCGTACTCGCACAGCTGTGTTTTGTTGCGCTCCCAAGTGTGCTGTTTCTCGCACAATTTTCTCTCTCTCTATCTCTCTCTCTCTCTCTGTATCTCTCCCTTTTTGTCGTTGAGTGCTTCTCAGTTGAGTCCTTAAGCACGCGGCATTTTGTGTTCAAAACAAAGCCGACCCGCCTACCAACCGCCACCACAGCTCCCCTCTGTCGGCGATTTCTTAAGCGACAACAGTTGACTTTGGCACTTTATTGTTATGAGTTTTGGTGCGTTTTTTTTTCTTTCTATTTTTTTGGTGTTATTGTCCTCGGTGGCTTCGTTTCGCATTTATAGTTTGTGCGGCATGCACTTGTTGACATTATGACTGTTAGTTGTTGTTGTTGTTGCCATACGTTTGTAACGAAGCAACACGATATTGTTGTTTACACCTGTAGTTTTTTTCCAAATAAAAATGTATTATTTTCGTTCCTGCTGATTTATTCATTGACTTTCTCTCTCTTTCACTCCATGTGACAGCAGTCTTTGTTAGCATTGCGTACTCTTGTGGTTTGGCCATCATTTCATGTTGTCGTGGTGGGAGTAGTGATTTGTCCGTCAATGGGTTTTAGTAATTGCAGAGTTTGGTTTTGGTTTTGTTTCATTTGTGTTTTCCTCTGCCGAGTGCATACTTTGTTGTTTCTCTTCATCTGATCGAATTGCAGTGGCAACAGTTGGTTGTTGAGTGGGGGTGGGCTGGTCAAGGGCGCTGTTTAATTGGTAAGTTAGTTGCTTATGTTGTAAGCAATTATTTCAATTCTTTTCTTTCTTCTTCCTCTTCCTCTTCTTCTTCTGCTTCTTCTGCTGCTTCATCTTACTTAGCGTAGGCATTTTAGTCACTTTCTGTCTACCAGCTGCCTTGAAGACTCTTAAACGTACTCACACGCTACTTTTAAAGTAGCAATAATATGCAGAGAAACTATAAACAAACTCTTGATTGGATGGAAAATGACCGTAGATAAGGTACCCGGGCACAGGGGCACACCAGTGAACTGTGCGGCAGCTAGACTAGCCAAATCAGCTGCGACAAGTGAGTTTCATAAGACGTATCCAATGATTTGGGCAACTAGATAGTTGAAGGAACCACGCAGGGTTCATACAGGTCCAACATTGACGCATGGTATCCTAGCTAATTTCTAGATAGATCTAATATATGTCTTTTTATTATATGTCTTTCAGCAAACGGATAGGTTGGCAAGGCTAATATTAGAATATGGTACACTGGAGTCTGTTTAAAAACAATTTTTACTTTTCGCGTTAAGATATTTTCTACGATAAATCTTCTTGCCCATACCAACCATTTAAAGCTTCTAAATCTACCTACCCTCGCAAGTCGTAGCGAAACGTTAGGCGCCCTATTCGTAGTGAAACTTCTTAACGGATCAATTTGTAGTTCATGGCTCTTAATTTAGTTTTCATGGACCAATTTTGCATAGAAAGTTCTTAGTTCTTCTGCTGTTATACTTGCATCAGACATACTTCGTTATCTTTTTCATGATTTGAATATCTGTCCTTAGCTATTTGTTCATATAGCAAATTAGTCTCTCTCTTGATTATTCTTAGCGGTCATGGTCTCAACTCCGCCCGTTTTCATCAAGAGTAACTCTATAAGGATATGCTATGTTGAGGATTATTTGGTGGAGAGCTATTGGAGTCTGTTGTGTTCGTGTCCTACTTTTTAAGATATGAAAATGAGACACTTAGATTTCTTTATTTTAGCCTTTTCTCGCTTTGCCGCAAGTGATCACAAGAGAATTGTACTGCACATCTTGAAGGAGTTCCAGGTTTCCAAGATTTTTCATATGTTAGCTGATGAAAGCTTATCTCTTAAGGTTTGGTACCTGTGCTGGGCATTCATCGTGGAAGTGCATAGCTGTTTCTATATGCCCTTCAGATTTGCAGCCGGTAGAAAATTCCATTTTTAAGAGCATATTCTTCAAATGACTAATATCCCATTATGGTTGCTGTAAGTACTTTACTATAGTTCTCCTGGACCTATTCAATAAGTCCTCGGTTCTTGTTTTATCAACCTTGGGCCATATCTGCTTCGATATCTTGTAATTGGTTACATATTTCCATTTGTTTTGAGCTATTTTGTCGAAATATGCATAAATTTGTTCGTTGGTTGTACCTCGGATTCTTCCGGAGAGAGTCCTGCTTAACCACACGTCTGTTTGGTAAACGGTTTTAAGCCCATCGCGGTAGCCGAGTGGCTATCATTCTTATCCCCGTGCCACCAACATCAAAAAGTTGTAGAAAGAAAGGCTCCTCGTAAAAAAATCATCAGCCGTTCGGAGGAGGCTTAGTATGAACTGTAGGTCCCTCCTTTTGTTGGAATAACATTAAGGTGCAAAACCACTAAATGGAGGAGGAGCTCGGCCGGATATCGCTTCAGCGGTCACAAAGTGCCAATTATATATATATATTGTATATATATATTGGATTGGGATGGTATTTTCCCTACTGAACCTCTACTTTATTCACGTGTAGAGTGTGTTCTCACATGGAAGCAAACCAGTAAGCATATAGTTCGATTAATTTAAAATTATTGTATGCCGATTCAGGATATTGTTTGTGGAAGGAAACAGTTCTGAAGGCACACTACCTTAAGGATTCCCTCTGCATATGTGCGCTGTTCGTATCGCTGAGGCGATTGACGCCAAAATCATTCTGTCCTTAAACTTCGACTTTATTTATGTGCATATCATGTCTGGTATGCCTCCATGTGACAGCGGATCAATGACTGTACATAAATTTATATTAATAATGTCTCCCTCCATGTCAAGACAGGCCGCCATTATGTATTCCTTGTGATGTAGGGATTTTTCAATTCATCAGTTTCAACCCTTCATGTGTGTTTGTTGGCCCCTCGTTTTGGTATCCGCTGTGCTTGATCTAATGCGTATTTATACTAGCCACTGTGAAGGAAGTAAAGCTTACAGCTATAAAATCTTTGGAATTATGATGTGTTCTTCTGCCCGGTTTGGGTAGGAACACTGCTTTGACTATTTTTCAGTTTCTTGAGATGTAAGAAAGCTGGATACTGGCCTTGTAGATCTCTCAAGGCTAAGGATGATTTATTTCTTTAGCTTCCTTAGTATTATTGAGATAATCCTAACCACTTTATATGGTAAAAAGCTGTTAATATCTTACGCAAGTTGGTCTACTGTGTTGACAAGTGGTTCTGATTGAGCCTTTATTACCGTCGTTTGCTAACTTCCGATAAAGTGCACTTTCCTCAATATCTGATGAGCCTTCCAGCAGAGGAGGTCCTAGCACCTTCCTCCGTCTTTGTATACATGCTATTGGTGTGTTCCTTGGAAAGGGTCTTACTCAGCCTGGTAGATTCCTATAACTTTCATTGTTGGCTTTTCTTAGTTAAGTTCTTAGGCTCTTAAGATTACTAGCAACTAGCAAGATCTGCCTGGCTTATATCCCTTCCCATCTTTGTGGTAATCGTGGTGGCGCGGCAGCCAAGGGAAGTAATTCGTAAGAAGACCTTCGCAAGATCCGCAACTTGTGTTTAGAACGAGTATGTGAGCTTGTTTCTAAGAGTTGACGCTTTGAAGCGAAACGTATGGTTCGACTTACGCTCACAGGCTGATGTGTTAGATTGAAAAGAGGGAAGCAACAGACCTGACCCCAAGCGGCCGAGCCTAAATCATAGAGCAAGCTCTTTGTGTTCTCCGTGTATCCTAACCAGGACCTTGCGATAAGCTCACTCGATTTTATAAACTTTTTAAGTTTCTTTAAGTGAGAATGGAGCTGGGAGTATGGTGAAGGACGCGACGCCTCAATCAGCTAAAGGCTGAACACCGGCAAAGTAAATACTCCAGCGTTTCGTTATGCTCTGTACGTGAATACACAGCCGATTCCACTTTACCTCGCTTATTGAGATAATATCCTTGGAGCAGCTGCTCAGTTAATACATCCAAGTTTTTTTTTGCACGTTCTCGTTTCGATTCTGGCAGCCGGCAAACTCATTTTTATTTTATTTATTTTTTTTTTTTGTGAAGTATAAATGAACTAGTATACAACTGGTTCAAAGCTGATGCGGAACTGGATAGTTGCCAGCTCGCACAACAATATAAAATTGTGCAACTAGAAGATCCTCCTCGCTGTGAAATGTGCAACTAACTATAATATTTTCTTTTTTTATTAAATAGTTCGGCTGTTTTATTTCATTTTTAAGTGAGTATCGAAGTTTTGTATTAAAAAACTAAACTTTTAAGCTGTCCTTCTCGCAACGAAAGGTAGAAACTTAACCGAATTATTTCAAAAAAGTGTAATTAAAAATAAATAAAATGCCACTCAACTGGAGCCCCCCTCAACGTAAGAGGAAACTTACCAAGGGGGGCTCCGAAGTGTCAATCACCTCAAATTCATCTTTAACCTCAAATATTTCAAATCGTGCACAAAGCGCCAACATCTACGCCACCAGCACGACCACCACCAACGCCACGAACAACAATACCAATACAATAAAATCCACCGCATCCAACAGTAGCCACCCACAGTGTGATGATGACAGTTTCCTATTACTCAAACATCAACAACAACAACACACCTCAGCGCCACTAAAACTTGGCAATTCGAAATATTCCCTGAAACGTTCAGCAATAACAGCCAATGAAGCCATGAGCACGAGCAGCTCAATGCAATCGTTGTACTCAACGAATTCTGCAACAAAAATTTTGGAGACGAAACGTGATGAGATCGATCATTATGGTTTATTTTCAAAAACTGCTCAACACTATGCAAATCTCTCCAAACAACAACAACATCATCACCATCATCATCATCATCATTCCAGTTCACATATAATCGGACGCAGTGGTATTGGCGGCGGCGGCGGCGGCGGCGGTAGTGTATGCTCAACCGACAGTGGTAGCAGCAATAGATTGAGTGGTGGCAGCTCATCTACGAAGCGTGGCAAGAAACAAAATTGGGGCTCTCGTGATCGCGCTGGCATGAGTTTTCTGATTGTTATTGCATTTTTTGCCGTCTTTGGTCTGATCGTGTTGATGGAGGTGAGTATTACACCGGTGAAAAAAACAGTTATTTTCTGATTGTACCCCTCTGCATGAAACGTTATTTTAATTATCATTCGATTTATTTAAATGCTTAGGGAAAAGAAGATTTTTGGAGCACGACTCCGACCGTGCAATAATAATAAGATCCATTAAAGGCGTTCTAGGAATTGAGCAACAAGGTTAGCTAAATTTGGACTTGGGATTGGACTGGTACATTTCTATAGAAAGTTCAGACAGAATAAGGGGAAGAAAACTCACTATTTATCCAGCTAAAATTAAGCTTTATTGAAGTGAGATCTGCCAACCTAGATGTGAGCGCAGGTGACCAAAGAAGCCCTTACCTGCTTTGTATCTGTGTCTAATCTACCAAATCATTTGTAATTTCCAACGATAATAAGCGGTAGAGTATCAGGGGTTAGAGTCCTGAACTTCCAAAATTATAGAAAGAGTCTTGTTTTCTAACCCCTCCACATGAAACGTCAATCCCTCCAGATATGTTAAGCAGCGTTTTATAAGCCATTCAGAATAGTCTTAAACGCTGATGGTTCATAGCGCTGTAAGTGGAATTGTAGCTGGGACCTTCCTGTGAGACATTTTTGGCATATTTTGCCCTTGGAAATACACCTACATCTATATAAAGTCCAGCTCTCACAAGATCTGAAGTCGACTGGCCTTTCCTAACGCTTCCAAGGAGTGGTCGAAAATTACCTTAAACGGATGGAAGTTTGCAAAAATTCACGAGGCCTTCATTTGTATGATGTAAAGTTTCACTTACGATGCCGAGATTCTAGCTTTGTAAGAAAAAAATACACTTTATGAAAAATTATTTTAAATTCATTTTATTCACATTTATTTTCGGCGCTACAAAGTGGATAACCCTGTTTTATGTATAATAGGATTTTAGCTGCTCACTATTTGGATGCTTCGAATCGCATCTTTGATGGTTTTTGATCTCAATGAAATGTTATTGTCATAGGCATCGCTTTTCTCTCGAAAGGTCCTAGTACCAACTCATCGTCCAGTTTTCATATTACTGATGAAGACTGATTAGCTTCTTCTGAGATTATTCGAGAGTTGCCTTACTTATTAATTGTCTACTCAGTCCGTATTTATTTAATTTTTTCGAGTGACGAAGGCATATTTTCAGTATCGATAAGGTGCCCAGATGTGAGTGAGCTTACTTGTGTGGTCGACGAACTCTGCACAGGACCTCTCTTCTGCTAAGATTTGCCCAAACCGAGAGTCCCAACAGAAGAAACAAACTTTCTCTATAAAAACTAGTTAAAAGTTAATTAAAAAATTAAGTTAAATTTTCTAATTGCGGTCGCCCCTTGGTAGAGAGTGTCAACCCCTCCGAATGCTTTTCTGACACGAAATAAAGGTTCTTCATAAAAAATCATCAGCCGTTCGGAGGCGGCTTAATACAAACTGTAGGTCCCTCCATTTGCTGGGAAAACATCAAGGCGCTAAACCACAAATTAGAGGAGGAACTCGGCCGAAAATCGCTTTGGTGGTAATAATATATGGCGTCAGTCGCCTTATGCTAAAGTAAAGTAAGGCCACTGAATCGGCTTGAGGCCTGGACTTCCAATGATTCTACAACGACCTCCACTTCGTCCCCGAACGCGAATATCACTGCATCTCTAATAGCCTGCCAACAAGCACTTCGTTACAGTAAGCATAGAGTGACGGGTGCAACCTAGGTGAAGGTCTGCTGTCGAGAACACGCAATCGGCTTTAAATTCAAGGAAATCAGCAGCAATCAGAGTAGCTCTGCTGCTCTGTAGAGTCAATTCAGTTAAGATGTAAACAATCTAACAACAAATCAGTTACCCTGGCTTTGGGTGTAACTATTGTTGGCTCAGAACCAATTAAGGACTAACTGATCTCGCTCTCGATAGCGCCGTTTTATTTCTGTGTCTCATTGAAAAGTTACTGACCATGTAGCCCATGTCCTTTTATTCACAACTCATCGTTCCAACATCTGCGCTTGTCAATTCGCAGAAGACCTTAGATCTGACTCACCAGATCTTGTCATCGTCAAGAGATATTTACTTTTAAGAATTCAAAGTTCGGCCTAAACGTTTTCGTTTCCTATATTGGACTGATTAGGGAGGTTGAGATCGGATAAATCCCAGTTGAATAGCTCGCTCACTCATCTCATCGCATGTTGACTTGCAAGCGGGTGATTAATTGTAGGTTTGTACCTGTCGTTAAAGCGTTATATTCGGATCTTTGCATATTCTCTTTTAAGTTAAATCTGCAGCCAAATATGTTAAAAAAATATGGAGAGTTTTATTTATATTTCGAAAAAGTTGTACTCGGTTCTAGATATCTGGTTCATTTCCAGAACAAAAATGCATTTCATTTAAGAATTCATATAAAAAAATTAACTTAAAGGAACCATGAATCATAAAAACAAAAACGATCCACTTCCCGTACGAAACATTTAAAGCAAAAAAATTATCTTTGTATTTTTTTGTAATTTTCGTCATTTTTATCTTCTCCAAATAATGGCCTTTGATTTCAATGCATTTCTAAAGCCTATAGATCCACTTTTGAAAACAGCCTTCAAAGTCTTGCTTTCTAAGCTTATCAAGTTCAGCATTAACCGCATTAATTGTCTCCTCGTTGCTATTAAAGAGCATTTTTCCTTTAATTTTTATTTTATTTTTGGAAATAACTAGAAATCACAAGATGCTTTATCTGGGGAATATGGTGCTGGACATGTTTCCTTTACCCAAGAGATCGCAATAAAATGATTCGTTATTTCAGCAGTGTGGGAAAGCACTTTGTCATGATGTAAAAAGTTGAGCCGCAAATCCTCTTTCTTCCTGTTTTCCAACAAATTTTTGAAAACTTTAGGTAAACACCCTTCGGTGCTCTTTTTTGGCAGTTACTGCCTGACACTTTTCCAGCGGAACAATAGAATAATAGTTACGATTTTTTTCATTAGCAATCATTTCTTGTATCAATTGTGGGTCTTCGTCTATTTTGAACTTCATCAGAGCTGCTTCATCATCGAAGATTTCAGTCGATCTTCTCGGGGCTGGTCCTCTATGAAAAAATGTCCGGTTTGAAATCATCGGAAACACTTAGAAATTGTCTCTATAGACGGTGCAATCGTTTCATATACAGTTTGGCATACAGTGAATTTTTATATTGGCTGTAAATTATGCCGAAACCCGAAGAAAATCACTTGGCGAATTTCTGTCTGCTTTGGCGCTGAAATTTCGTCTCTCCTTTTCTCAACTAACTTGAGTTTTCTCATCTCCTCTTTAGCCGAACATTCCAAAATTTGAAAGAAAGACTAATAAAGTAATTGTCAAGGATCTGATATCTTCAGATTTAATATAATAAAAACAAATTGAAAGTCACCAACTGACCTGGTATATATCAAATATTAATTAAAAATTATATATTTTTTGAACAGTTCAGTCCTTAGTTTATTTCCGGAGGAACGAGCAATCTTATGGTTAATATACCCAATTTCAAGTAAATTAAATTATGGAAACGATTTCCCGAAATTTGTTTCGTATAACCTTTGCTAGGAATCATGGAAACAATCTGACAAAATTTCAAGTCAATCGGTTGGTAACTTTTGAAGATTACCAGATCCTCACAAACTAATATAAGGGTTTTATACAAATTTATTTCAAAGGATTATATTTCATATACTCGTCTAATTAAATTTTCGTAATTTAAGTTTTCAATTATTCATTCAAGTCATGTTTAATTTTTTTTCTTAACTATATTTTTGTATATTTTTCTTTAATTATGCCTTGAAAAGGCATCACGATGCTGTAATTGATATACGTATGTATATGTGTATGTATGTGTCTACAAAATATTAACTCAAAAATAATATTCCATTTTAATTTTAATTTTAATTGTAAAATAATGCGTTTACTTTTTTTCCTCCCCTTTCTTTAACATAAAACTTTATGAAAACGCTTACGCTACTCTCTTTATGCCTTGCGCTATGCAAAAGCTGTTCATGATCGACGAACGTTCGCACACTGGAATGATGGCGTTGCGGCATGGAAACAACTTTGGTTCACGTTCCGGTGATTCAATGCCGGATTATGATAATGTGAAGGTAAGTTTTTCACCAATGGAAAAGAGAAAAAAAGCTAAAACGCAAGAGGAAGAAAGTATATGCTGAAAAATAACTGTAAAGAAAAGCTGGTAGGAAGAGAACAAAGAGAGTCAATATTAGAAATACAAACTGACAAAGGTAAAGGTAATAGCAACATGCTGCTGCAGGGTAGGGTGTGGGCTTACAGGACGAGCGATGTGATTCAAAAATATTAAAATTTGCTGTAGCAACAGCAAAAAGTTAAGCCTGAAAGAGTTGCCGTGTAGTGAGCTTCAGGTATATTTTTAATTTTTTTTTTTTAGTTCTTTATTTTGTAATTTAAAATGAGCACAACAACGACCATAATTGAGAAGTGTCGCACAGTGTGACTATTGCATCTGCTATGGTCAAACGGTGAAGAAAACCATTAATATTTGTTGTGAATTTTTTGTATATTCTTTTAATCTGGTATCAAATGTATAAGTATGTAGGGACGTGTTTGAAAATCATAAGAGACTTTAATCATTATCTTTTTTCATATTACTGATTTTCTGCGCTTCCTATTGTCTCGCTAAGATAGGGCTCAAGTCCAAAGTTAGCTTTTTTCAACAAACAGCGATAATCCAAATTTTTTCTCGTACTAAACGGGGGGAAAAATAAGAACTTTCACACCGCGTATAGAGAAAATTAAACAGATTAGACTCCGACTCTGCGAGGTCTTGCGCTAACTTGACCGTGGCTGTGCAGAATAAAGTTTCGAAAACCACAGCTTGGTGTACCCTGCGTCGATGCTAACATTTGAATTTATTGAAATTGAGTGAAGAGCTTCATTTTTTCCCACGGCCCAATCAAACACGTTCACATTTTGAAAAAAAAAAAAAACACTTAAAAGTTCATCCGTTTAACTGTAATTGTGTTAGAGGTTATCTTCTTTCGCGAAAAAATGGAATCTTTACGGCCCAGACGGGTTTTAATTCTATTGGAGAGATTTGCGAAAGGGCAGTCTTTGCTTTTTTACTTCGGAGGAGGTTCACGAATTATATGTGGCTCTTTTGCATCAAAAACTCCGCTTGAATTACAATTCACATCCTCTCAAATGAACACCAAGTGACTACATTAAGGTGTTAGAAGACCGTCTCCTTTTTTTCGGGACTTACAGGGAGGTGCAACTAACTTTCTAACAGGATAATGATTGCTCCATAGAGACCATTGACTGGCCGGCCAGCTCTCCAGACTTATATCCAACAGAGAGTATATGGGGGAAGAGAGGGGAAGCTTCAGTGGAACCAATCCTACTTATTCGGATTAAGGATCCGCTGAAGTCTAATTCCAACGTCTAAATGTGTAAAAAAAAACTTTAAACTGGTTCGCCTAGCGAGACTGTGCACTGGGTTTGGAACCCGCCTCGTAGAAACTAGCACCAACGAAAAAAAATAAATTACATGTCTAGGATGAGATATTCCCTTGCTGATGATGACCGCCGCAAACGATTCAAGGATCACGATTAAAGGGCATGCACCTGGAATGGCAGGTCTCTTTGTCAGGAAGGTGCCGCTGCTGAGATGGTTTATGTACTCGTAAGAATAAAGGCTGATTTCACCACCGTCCAAGAAGTGCAAGGAACGGACATATAAAGTTGAGAAAATTTTCACTTAGGATTTCTTCGCCAGAGCAAAGTAGGTATCTTGGTACAACTGTCAGCCTCCACAACGAAATGACCCCGAATGGGTTGACGCTCGAAATTGGGTTGTCTATAGTACCAGATGCCAAAACAAGAAAATAAATCAGCGACTTGGCTGTACCCTGAATTTTTTGCAAAAACAGCTGGTGCAATGGTAAGAGAACAGGCAATCGACCTTCACACGTGCGTTACGGGATATATACCTGGAATGGAAGAGGACAGCATGTCGCATGTGCGAACAAAAAGACATAAGCCGAGAAGCGTTAGTGTGAAGAGATCGAGAAGCTGAGCGACAAGGGCAACATCCAAAAGCTCTATGGAAGGCTGTGGCTACTCACAGAAGGTTTCAAGATGCCTGAATCAACAAAATATGGTAGCCTGAGAGCATGTCTGAGTCTGACGATTGGCTAATAACCGGGGGATTAGCCTAATAAATATCGCATATATAGACCGACAAAGCAAATTGTGTGAGAGGAATTCCTTTTAATTTTGAGCCTCTATCAAAAAAAAAAATTTTTTTTAATTAAATTTGAATTAAAAATTTAAGCTCAATAAAGGAGGTTTCTCTTAATTTTTTCTATTTAATTTTCACTTAATTTCTTATTTAATTTTTTAAATTTGATTTTTTTAATAGTTTAAAAACTTTAAGCTGCCAGCAATTCTCTAAAAATTTATTTTCAACTTTTCAAAACCTTCCTTATTTTTTATAAATATTATAGACTTTTTTAAACAATATTTTTTTTAATTGGAAACCCTAGTAAAAAAAATTAGAACGTCCGTTATATGAATTATCTCTTTGTATTCATAAGGCTATGGCTGACAGTCATTTCATATTTGTGTAAATAATTTATGTGTGTTCAAGTAGGTGGCAACCTTGGCAAATCTATAGTAAACTGTTAGATTTTTTAAGCCGTTTCCATTTCTTGCTTTAATTTCTTAGCTTTATTGTTTTGTTTTGTTCTCTATATATTTTAATATTTCAAAACTAAAAACGTAAGGTGGCAACGTAGTACGAAAATGTTGTGTACAGTTACAATGTCTGAAAATTTTCGACTTAGTTTTTTTAATCGTCAAACCACTGTGTTACCTCATTTTTGTCCGATTTTTAAAAGAAAAAAATATTTTCAGTTCAAACAGGTGGCAAACTACAAAATTTTTTTAATCTATTTAAAACTATTACGACTCAAGCAATTTTTCACTAAAATAAAAAGAAATTTTTTGTTCAAAATATCAAGCAAAAATCTTCTTAAAATTGTGCTGGTTCAAAAGAACTTTCACTAAAAAAATATGTTTTTAGTTTTTTCAAATAGATAGCACCCTCAAATCTCCTTTCAATTATTTCAATATTTTGACGGCTTAACAGAGTTTTCTATAAATGTTTTTTTCCTATCAACAATAGCGAATTTCGGCATTTCTCCCCGATTTTTCGAGGCATTTGAACACTGTGCGCACAATAAAGTTGAAAATTATGCAAAATCATAATTCAACAACAGTTGCAGACTTTCGCAATGCGTTTTAATTTTTATTTCTGGTGTTTCTACAGTCCGTCTTTTTTCCAATTGGTTTGCGTGTTTGGGTGCGTGTACGTTTACGCTGTTACGGTACCTTCATCTGTTAGTTCAGACCCTTGCACTCAAGTCACCTGAACACAATGAACTGTTGTCTGACCCGCGCATAAATGTGCATAGATGCGAGTATATGTAAAAGTACAGCTGCGAAATTTGTCTAGCTATGTATGTATGCACATACATATACATATGTACAAATACATTGCCATAGTTTTGGCAAAAGTTTTTTTTTTGCATTAATTTCATTTATTTTCCGTGTTTTGTTTTGCTTTAATTTCAACTTTTTTCCTATGCTTTGCTGGGCTTTACTGCTTTATCGGTTTTTGTTGTTGCGAAAAATGGATTTGCATTTATTAATAAAAATGGCAAAATGTTGAGCAAAGTAAATGTATTTTCCAAAAGCTGATTTCTCTTTTAAACCCCTTACTCACTCAATTAAGATTTTTTTTTTTCATTCTCTCTTTTATTATTTTACTTTTAATTTTTACTCTTTGTGAGGTTTATAGAGAATTATACAGAATTAATGCTTTCAGCATATCCCAAAAATGTCTGCGGCTAACGTACTCGTATATATGTATGTACGAGCACTCATATACGTGTATGTATGTTGGATACTTAACTTGAGATAATGTGAAATTTTGCAGATTTTGGAAAATTTGCAATTAATGCAGAATTATTTTTTTTTTGCTCGTGTTGCTTTCGAGTGTATTTTGGGCTTTATGTAAAGCAGCAGAATTTAATATCCTCTTCGAAAATAACGTTGAGAATAATTTAATGTAACTGGTAAACGGTTTCTGAAAATTAAATTTTTTAAATAATAATATTATTCTTCGGCCTAAATTTAAACGAAATTAATAGGAAAATCTTATATAAGTTTTTTTTTTTCAAAATATTAAGCTAATATATGAAGCTTATTCGACCAAAATTAACCACTTGAAAATTAATGGTTTTTTGATTTAATGACAACAAACATTCTGAATAATATTGAATACAAGTACGATATGATACGTAAAATATTTTTTTTCAAGCCATTTTTCTTAGGTGGCAGAAGTTGCTAGATAATTTTTACTATAAATAAAATAAAAAGGTTTAAAATTTTTACGTGTCGCATCATGTCATACTATACTGCGCTGAAAACGTGTTTATTCGCGCTAAAAATCTTTCTTTGACAGTTTTTCGTTTGATTTACTCAGTACGTTGTGAGCGCTCATCAAAGATGGACACCAGCAAAGAGAAAATTCGCTACATTTTACAATTTTTCTTCGATCAAGGCGAAAAGGACCAAATTTCCATTTGCGAATCGCTGCTGAACCGCAACAAAATCGATCTGTTTCTGAAGCGGATAGTGGCAATGATACATTGGACGCAACCGGTCGTGGTCAAAGCTCATAGAAGCGGCCCAGACGGTGGTCAAAACCCTTATAGTCCGAACCTGGCATCAAGTGATTACCATATTTTCCTGTCCATGGCGAACGCGCTTAATTGTGAGAAGTTGGCCTCAAGAGAGGCCTGTAAAAATTGACTATACGAGTTTTTTGCCAATAGGGATGCCGCCTTCAACGAGAGGGGTATAATGAAGTTGGCATCTCGTCGACAACAAGTTTACGAACAAAACGATGCATATTTGACCTAAATCAGACAAATGTACACAAAGTTATCATATTTTGAAAAATCAGTAAAAAAAAAACCGATCGAACTTTTTACTTGACCATGAATAATAAGTGATTTATGAGCGTTTAAGCATTTACAAAATATAAATATTCTCCACATTTATTTTACTAAAGGATGATATATATTTTTTAAGAGAATAGGGTGGTGCGTTTTATTTTAAATAGCTATAAAGCCAACTGCGAAGAGAGAATGAAACTACCCTTGAATTATTGTATCCTGGGTATCACCTCGGCAGGGAATGGCAACCCCTCCGAGTGTATTTCTGGCATGTAAAAAAAAGCTCCTCATTAAAAACCATCAGTCGTTCGAAGGCGGCTTAGTATAAACTGTAGGTCCGTCTGTTTGTTGGAAAAACATCAAAAAACAAGACTACATATAGGAGACACCGCAGCTTGGCTGAAAATCACTTCAGCGGTTACAAAGCGACAATTATATTTTTGCAAGAGATGTCTTTAGTGAAATATATCTCTCGTTTTATAAGAGTGACTGGATTACGTTAGTTGACGTTGAAAAGATAATATTTTGTACTAAAAAATGCTAATAGAAGAAGTATTGATCACTAAACTCAGTTGTATTTGAACGCATGCCAAAAACGGACAAGCAGGGGAAAGAGAAAATCTTTTCTTTTTGGAAACTAACAATAATTTCGAAACCCCCAAAGGTAATTCTTATTTCTGGAACATTAATTTTTAAGTAGTTTCTCTATTTCCTCGGGGACGGTTCTAATTCCGAGATCCTTGAAAATTGTGGAGTTTTTTACATACCAAGGGGCTTTGGTTTTGCATATTGAACTTAAGGTTATAGGTTGCTGTCTTTGAATTCTATCTAGGCTAGATTTAGATGCTGAGCCCCAACGTCCAAGCTGACTTTATAATTATATTAAAAAGTAAAACTTTGTTTTCTAGACTTAGTTTGGAAGTAGAGCCTACAATCCAATGCAAGTTCACAATTTTCAATTTGGTTTGAGTAATCTTTTTGTCTTTGTGGTTCTTCCAGGTGAGTCTTTTATCCAATTTAACTTCCAGGGAGGTAGCGAATTTTTTCTGAGATATTGTATTCCCATTTACAGAAATTGAAGGGCACGTGTCTTTTTTTAGAATTAGTGTCACTTAGACTAATTGACTTTAATTCTCCAACAGTGGCTAACAAGCCACTCTTCTATTACTTTTAAATGCTCTTGTAATCTGTAACTGGTTGTCATGGGGTTTGAATGGACACTAAGTTTTGCTGTATCATCCGCAAAAGTTGGTGTGATGAGGTTTCGGTTTGTGGGAAGATTGTTCGTATAAATTAAATATAAGACGCAAATCTGACAGCAAAAACTGTGAATAATGTTTAAGCCCCAGCAACTGTAACAGTTAATCATGCAGAATTTTGACTTTATCTATTTCGTTATTGTAGTTTTGATGTAAGAGATGCCGACCGAGCTCCTCCTCCAACTTATGGTTTGAGTCCCTATGTTTTTCCAGCAAGTGGAAAGACCTACAGTTCATTCTGAACTGCCTCTCAATGGCTGATGTATTTTTGAGAATTTCCCTACGAAGGTCAGGGGTAGACAAGTCTCGGAAACAATATTTATTATAACGGCTGCTCATGTGCTTCTTGAATGACTATGCCTTATGTTCCATAAAAAAACAACAGCAAAAGATAAATATTATAAAATTCTTACAATTGCTTTATTTTCTCCTTCGCAGGATGACTACGATTTGCTGGATGAAAATCTATTGAGTGATAGTAAATTAGGATTTGTACAATTTCGTGATAATAAATTAAAAATTCAAGGTGAGTAAATAATTGAAAATGGAACTATAATCAATTCTTGGGAAGGAAAGGGCTTGGGTCGATGAAATAAGTGAGGTGGAATTAGAAAAGCGGAGACAAAGTAAAGAAAATGAACATTCAATATTTCGAGTGGCCACTCTCATCAAAGTCGTGTGTGTGTGTGTGTGTGTGTGTGTGTGTTAGGCAACATTATTTGTTGGATTATATAAATATATGTACATAAGTATGTGGATGCACATGAATATTAGAAATCCTTCGTCTGTTGCAAAAAACGGAAATTGCGCATTTCGGTCACATTTCTAATTGCCTCCAGTTCCAGCCGACTTTGGCCCGATGCATGTCTGCTGATAAAATGCAGCCAACAGTCAATTCAATTAAATATACCGACCATACCCTCGACATACCCCAGACGCTCCTCTAACGTCCGTGTTTGACTTGGCTTGCCCTTTATTCATTCATTTATTTGCACAGATGCTGAGAGCGATGGCAATGGACGCGTGGCGGGTGTTCTAATCAATTCCGGCGGCATTGAATCAGCGCAAGCTCAACGCGGCAATGCAGATGGCGCTGGTGCGGGCGTTGGCGGTGGCATCGTACGACCCGGCGGCGGTATGGGAACACCTATAATACCGTGGGGTAAGATATTACCTAGCAAAGTAGAGGAGACACTGCCACACTTTCCAATTGGCATGCAGCCAAATGATGGCGCTTGGCAAGTTGTCAACGGCACACGCTTCAAGTTTTTCGTCTTCTCGGCCTATTATGATCGACGTGATGGCGCGAAATTGGTGCGCGTCATAGGCGCGACCAAGACACGTACACCGGAGCGGGTGTGGTGTCGCTTTTGGTATCCGCAGCAGTCAGCGCAACAACACAAACATCCAGAGCAGCAAACGTCGTCATACACATCGGCAACTGTAATGGCGCGAGTTAAGGTTAGTTTTGGCTTCGCGGCACATTAGTTTGTGAGCTTAAACAACCATTTAATTTTACAAAACTGCAAACGTTCCGCCTCTTTACTGTTTATACCTTTCTCTTATTTTTTGTGCGCGCCGTCAGGTTATACGCGAAAATTGGAATCTCAAATATAGCGCTGTCTTTGTACTTTGCCCTGTGCGACCCGCCGAACTGGAAGTGCCGCATTATGTTAGCATTGTCGCACGTCTACGTACCCCACCGGGTAATCTACTACAATTACGTAACACCGATTGGGATCCCGACTTTGCGCATCTTCGTACGCCACCGGCAGTTCTGGCTGCAGCGGCGGTGGCCGCGGCTAATAGCAGCAATGCTGCACATGCTAATGCAACCACAAGGCAACAACAACAGCGCCAACAGAAACAACAACCACACTACCAAAGACCAGCAACCATGTCACCAGCGGGCGCTGAGTATTTGCCATACGGTTTGCCCACCGATGAACAGATACCGGACAAAATCGCCGTCTGTGTGAAGCCCTTCCATTTCAATTACGATCAGGCATTGTATCTAATGGAATTTCTGGAGTTTTACGCTCTCTTGGGTGTGGCACATTTCACATTCTATAATCACACCTTGGGACCGCACGCGACTTGCGTGCTGCAACACTACATTGATGGTGATATACCGAACACTTCGACAGCTTGGGATGTGGATTTGGCGGAGGTGTTGGGCAGAGGTGTTAGCCTAATGGGACAGGATGCCGCTAAAGTGGATGGTGAGTTTATTTTGTATATATTATTATATATATATAGTCTTTTAATAAAGTGTAAATTAATACAGCGGCCGCAATAGCCGAGTAGGTAGCAAAGCGAGATTCGTGCCGCGAGAAGAGTCATGGCTGTGTACGAGTGGGACATACAAGTTGTCGACAGCAAATGTGCCTACCTTTGAAATTATTTCAGATATTAACTTAATATCGAAAATCCATCAGCCGTTCCGAAGCAATCTGAAGTTTTTAGGTCTCTTCATTTGTAACAAACTGTAGGCAAAGCTCTTTCGCGCCAAATAAAAGCCACAAATCCCTGCTGAAGCACCTGGTGTTGCTTAGCAGCAGCTTCGACGGTGTGGGTTGATTCTATTTTCCTTGGTGCAGAGTGAATATCTGGTAAATGTTGAAATTACCAGATCCCGATACGTTCGATGAGACTTTATATACGATATTAAGGAGGCAGACTATATGGTCCCCTTTTTTGTGGTTTGTGCAGAGCACACATAGATTCCATCTTTGGGCATGCTTCCGTCCGAGCATATTCTGTAAAGAAACTTCTGCAGGCACCTTGTGACATCTTCGCCGCCATATTTGAAAAGCTCGGCCTGAACCCACCGCAATGTTGTTTTCCAGGCAATAGCAATTACGGATAAAGGAACATCTGTGGGAAAGTCATCGATTGGAGAATCCGGTTCGTAATCACCTTTGGGCATCAGTTGCTAGATCACTTCTTCATTCAGCCTCACGCTGTTTCTTTCTGCAAATACTTAGCTCGGCACATAGCTTTGTTGTTACAAGAAAGTTACACGAGTCAATGTTGTGTCCTCGCAGCGTCCGCATGTGTAGAATACTGCAGATCGATCTGGTTGCGGGTTTTTCAATGCGGAGATAGCTTTCTTCGTCACTGAATTTACCGACTGTTGCGCCGAAGATACTTGGCACTGGTTTCTATTCGACGGGTGCCAAGCCTAGCGTACAAATTCATTAGATGACACCGATTCGCAGCCGCACTATTTGTCAACAAAGGCTGCAATTAGACTTCAGCGAATCTTTAATTGGATATGACGAAGTGGCTCCACAAAAGTCTTGATACAAAGATCGAAATGTTTCCAAGGTATGCGGTAAACACGAAAGACTACAAATTGGGTATAATTGACGAGATATTGACGGCGGCTATTTTCAATAGATCATTCAGCAGTAGGGTCCCAAACGTACAGTCGTATGAGATATGGGTGATCACTTCCTCTTCGTCATCAGCCTAGTAACACTTAGAGTCTCAGCATGCCGTCATATCAGACAGTAGATTCTCAAGATTGCTATTACTTCGAACATGAATCTCTTTCTAAGGAGTACATATCTAAAAATTTGTTCTTGTCGCGTTTCTTTTCCCGACGCAGATTGTTTTTATATAAAAATACCTCAAGAAGCAGCTTGCAAATGGCAAAGGTTATACGAATACGCTTTTTATTGGGAAAATCCGCTTAGTCGTACTTTGCCTAGCAAGCTCATACGACTTTTCCCCCAATATTTCTGTGACCATAGACCCGATTGGGTGGTAGGCAGTTTCCCCTAGAAATCGGCGGCAATCTAGCACAATTTCGCACAAATTCTCGCAGAAGTTTAGCGTTCGCACTCCCGGTAAGTTGGTAGCGGTGATTTTATTGCAACTGAAATGAAGAATTTTGCAATTGTTTAAATTTATCTTGTTTCTGAAAGTCCGCGAAATCGGAAGACTTATCATGAAGCTTCCGTTCAGATTTGAGGTTTTGTATTGAAAATCCGTCAAAAGGAAAGACTCCGGAAGTCATCGAAATCGTTGAATAGTCCTCTACAACCAATGGAAATTAATAAAGGGTTTAAAGATTTCGGCTGAGGACGACGCTTCTAGCTTAATCAAATAAATTTTTACAGTTATCTTAATTCAAACCCTTACATTTCGTGACTAATTTCCTTTCTCACCACATTTCTTTAATTATAAACCTACGCAGCTGTGCTTAGCGGTTATTATAATCTCAATAATAATATCAACAACAACAACAATAATAATAATTATAACAAAAACAACGATGGAATGAATTTTTACCACAAAAGCACGAATCCCAATAATAATGTTAATAATCAAACAGGCGTGGCAGCACAAACACCAGTCGCTGCCTCAGCCTCAGCCGCAGCCGGAGCCGCAGCAACAGCACAAACAAAACAAACAACAGCGACAACAGAGGTAACCGGTGCACTGCAACCACCGCCACCACCACCACCGCCAGCACAACCGCAGTTGCCACCTCGACCACCACCTCTAGAACCGACCTTGCCGCCAGCGAAGCGTTACAAGAGTACAAACTATGCTAAGCCCACAATTAATATTCTGCCATGGAATTTGCGTATGCGTTCACAAAAGGAAATACGCACCGAAGGGCTTTTTGCAGCGCTCAATGATTGCCTCTATCGTACGATGCATCGCTACCGATACTTGGCGATGGTGGATTTGGATGAATTCATTGTGCCTCGGCACAACGATACGCTCAACGAATTAATTAAGTAAGTAGAAGCAATGGGGAAAAAGAAGTAAGACTAGTAGTGAAGGTAGAGTAAGGTAGGCAGTCGGAAGCTGCTTTGCGCCGAGCTAGCAACAGTAGGATTTTGTCTATTTGTATTGCTTGTTTCTGCCGCCTTCTCTTTTGTGAGCGAGCAACACTTTGGAGCTGCAGTTACTGAAGCTGCTGTTAGCTGTCTTAACGCACCGGCAGACAAACAGCGAAAGACGACATGAGCATCTTAACATTAACGTAATATCCGCACTAATTGCTTTCGGCTGCCTGCCAATGCTTGCTTAACCGCAACTGAAACGTTCACTTACTTGCCTGTTGTTCATTTGTTGTTTATTTTCATCTTGTACATATCTAATCCTTATCTTATCCTTATCTCATCATTTCTTCTCTTGTCTTCTCTTGTCTTATTTACCTTCCCGCTGTTGTTTAGCTCACTTAATCATCGCTTCCGTTACCGCAGCCTGGGCGCTTACTCTTTTCAAAATGCTTTCTTCTATCTACAATTCCCCGATGATCCCTTGGTGACACAAACGCACTCTTACCATGGCGGCGCGCAAATGGGCCATCAAGAACCGTATGCTCATACGAATTCTGCGCTACGTGCTTCATTGGTGACACAACGAAAGACACGCAGGTGAGTACTGAACATGTTAATTTAGTTTTAGGGAGTTCGAGAGAGGATGATAAAATATTTAGTGTTCAATACAATTGTTAATTGCAAAAAAAGGAATGGGTTGTAAGAAAGGTGTGTGTGTGTGGGACCCACCACATGAAAAACGAAATCGAATGAAAAATTTTAATCAGCCTCGGATGAGAGACCCAACTTTTGATGACGACCCCCGTAAATGTTTTAAGGATTACGATTTGAGGGCATGCACCGGGAATTTTTGGTCCCTTAAATGGGAAAGTGCCGCTGCTTAGCTGGTTGATGTCCTCATAAAGGACCACGAGTAAAGTCAGTCAGTCTTGCCAATACAATAGAGACCGATCTCTTTATCTGCCTTCAGCGGCGCATACCGCAGTCAACACTTTCAAAGATGGGCTCCTCTCATCCAATCAATAGGCATTGTGGCTTAATTTGCTGAACTAAGTCATTGTTTTCTAATAAAGGCCGATCCATTGTGGGACTCCCTACTTAAAAAAAAAAAAAACACAGAAAACCCAAATTTGATGGGGAATGTTCTTTATCACTTTCAAGAACATGCTTTGGCATTTATTTTTTGAAGATTATCTCTTTCAGATGGTCTATCCTTAGAGTTTACTTTCCGATGACTCGTTCGAGCCAAGGCCTGAATCAAATCGTTGCCGCTTGAGAAGTTCGAGCGGTTTCAGCTCATGCACAATTTGTAATTTATACACTTTTAATTTAAGATATCGACGTAAAATGCTCTAAGTAGTTCCATACGTCAGTCCAAGTTGCTGGGAACAGCAGCGAATCGACTCTCCATGGTCGACTGGTACATTCTCAGCTACGGCCGGTATATTTGCTTCTCTGCATGCTGGGTCTATTCGGCCGAATATTACCCAATATTAAATGCTGGGCCTTAAGTTGGGTGATTGTGTGGCAAACAGTACGTTCCGTAGGCCGATTATGATGACCATAAGTTGAGTGAAGCGCACGAAACACATCTTTACAGAACGTGAGTTTCCGTGGTCCAAGATAGACGAAGTTATCAACGAATTTAAAGTTTTAACCGTTAACAAAGTGGTAGGAGACGTGATGCGGAAGTGATTTCTGTTATTTCAAGGTTTCTCGTCTTATACTGTAAATTATAAAATTTTCTTTATTTGCGACAGTTCCTGCCCAGAAAACCATCACCGTATACCCAGTTGAAGTTCATACCTAAACTTTTAAACTTTCCATTTGTTAGCTTCAATTTTATTATAACTCCTCTTCTTACACTTACAGACGCTTAAAACTCCATCCGCAGAAGCAACGCTCAAAATACATTTGCAAACCTGAATCGGTTATCGAAGCTGGCAATCATTTTGTTTGGGAGTTTTCACCGGCGAAAGGTTCATTAAATGTGCCACCAACAGATGGTATATTGCAGCATTATCGTGTAAGTGGAAGTTTGGGACTTTCAAATAATCTTTATTTTTTACATAAAGCTTTGTCTTTGAAAGCTTTTTAAATCATCTTTTTTTATACCGTGATCTCTTAAAGTTTTTCCCCACCCCTTCATATAATACTGTTTAGAAGACAGACAAGAGAACTTTATTTTATTATTCTTCCCCCTCTTCAACGCTACATCGTTTCTCATAGGTGTGTGAATTCGGTGGCAATGATTGCATTAAAGCGCCGTCGGTAGTCGATCGCACCGCCACGAAGTATGTCAATCGTTTGGTGGAGCGTGTTGAATTGGTTTATAAACATTTGAAACATCGTTGTGATCTGCCCGCATTGCCAAATGAATCTGAACCACAAGAACAATATCAAGCGCAACGACAACAAGAGCAGAAACAACAACAGCAACAACAACAACAACGAAAAGAACATACCCAAAGTACAGGTGAGTTGTTAAAGGCAGAGGTTAGTGCTAAAGCATTAGCAAATAAAATGAACAATAATAACGATAATAACAGTAAAGGTGTAAATAAAAAACGCGAAGCTATCAATGCCAGCGCTGATGAGCGCATAAGAACATTGGCGAACGTCAAATCGAAACGAGACAACGATCGTGAAATTAGTAGTAATTCTAGAAACAGTGCAACGATATTACAGAAAGCAGCGGTGTTAAGTAGTCTGGACACCATCGATCCGACGGTGAGTCCGGCGCATCACGAGGAATACAAAGTGAAACGAAAGAAGCGAAAAATTGTGGTATTCGAACAGGATGAAGAAGGTTTGCCAACAGCACGTCTCGAGTACGTGGATAATTGAATAAAATTGTAAGGGTGTTAAAGCAAACAGGAAGGTTGTGTATTTTTGTTTTTTAATTGCACAAATAATACCCGTGAAGGTACAATATGTTTTAAAATTGAATATTATGTGGATACGTAAGTAAGGCGCAATAGTATTTTGTGGAATTTTTTAATTTTTTCATATATAGTTAGTTATATTATATCATTAATTTGTAGAATTCTTAATTTGTTGAGAAACTTTATCTGTTTCCAAAATCCTTTTTCCTTTTATTATATTCATTTTTGTTCTTACTAAAAAAAAAAAAATACCTGCAAGGGTCGGCAGATCTTGGTATTGAGCCTTTACTACTTCTAAACATAACCTCCACGAAGCAAACTGCCGCACACCACCGTGTTTTCTCAAGGGAAAAGGTTCATAAGCATGCTAATGCTAAAATATCTACGACCATCGGGAGGAGATTTTCTCACCACCCTAAAAATATCCGATATGGGGAAAATGTGTGGGGTGAGTAGTTCCGCTACTCTAACCAGCAGATATCTCACCCAGCAGCGGACACTATTCAGCACCATGTATAACAGCCTCTGGACAGAACGGCGTACCGACAAGCATTTAAGGCCATTCACCAAGAATTCGCCAGTGAATGGCGTTCTCGGTGTCAAACCCACACCTATAGTAGACGAAGAGCTCGAGCTGCCTCAAGAGTGAATTTTATAGCAGGTTAAACTCCTACTTATCCACACTCGACCACAACATACCTAATGTCCTGCACACAACGACTTTCCACACGGCACGGCATCTGGTCCGAACTCGTCGAAACAGCTCGGTTATTTATTTTATGTTATTTTATTTTAATTTAATTTAATTTAATTTAATAAAAACTTAATTTTATTTTATTCTGCTTTATTCTATTTATGTTATTTTATTTTATTTTATTTTTTATTTTACTTTATTTTATTTTCGTTTATACTATATCATTCTATTTAATTTAATTTTATTTTATTATGTTTTGTGTTGTTTTACAGTAATTTATTTTATTTTATTTTTATTTTATTTTAGTTAATTTTATTTTATTTTATTTTATTTTAATTTATTTTATTTTACTTTTATTAATTTTATTTTGTTTTTTATTTTTTTTTTTAATAGGTATGAAAATAAATTGTGCCAATTTTAAAAAGATTAGCATTTTTTTTTACATAATAAATTTAGGGCGAGCATATTTTCAACATTTAATTGAAAACTTCTAGCATTGAAATACAAGACAAAAATCGAAAATGTAACTAAAGCTCAAGTAAGTTAAGTTCAGCAGGCAAATAGATGAAAATTTTGCTGTTAACTCAAAAACAATAAAAAAGCAAAAATCATTCAATTTATATAGTTATATGCCAACATATCAGAATTATGCAACAGCAACTAAATTGATGAAGAAAATTATGCACCTATTAACCTAGCTTCTACATGTACGGCTGCATATATCATATATAGTATAAAAAGAGAGAAAATCGGACAAAAGTCCCTTAAACTAGATTCTAAAACAAAGCAGTTGAAAGTTGCTCAACTCATTCAATCAATAAATTTCTTGTGTTGATATTTGTTGTTGGCATAGTAATCAAAACATGTGCTTTAATAACTGATTTAGGAGCAGACAGTGCAGTTGTTACCAAATCCACAAAAAGGAAAAACAATATGAATACTATTTTAAACAAAAAGTTACCTACTATCAAAAAGCTTTAAATTAATTTAAAAAAAAAATTTTAAAAACTTTAAAATCTAATTTTTGCATGCAACCCAAAATTTATAGTTCCTTAAAATGTCTAAAAATAAAAATTACCACGTTTAGTGGCGCTTAAAAATATTAATGTTCCTCAAAAAAGAAAAAAAATAATAACTTAAAAATAATTATATTTTGTAGTTTTGGCACTTCTCATATACATATATTTTAGAGTCTGATCCCTCTTAAAATTCATCTATCATACCTACAAATATATACAAAAAAGGGTATATCATTTTCCAAACTACCTCAACCTTAAGATACTAATTTAGTTAGAAAAAAATTATGTTTTGATATAAAATTATAATCTAAATTATTTAAAAATGTTGACAACTGCACTGTCCGAAAAATTATATAAACAATTCAATAATAGGCAAAGTATCCGTCGCAGTAGAGTGTAATCCAAATTAGCTTCAGAGAACATTATATAACTGTTATGGCTTTCAAAAAACCCAATTTTCCAACAAGTGAATAAAAGAGGGTTCTTTAATTAAAAAATTAAAATTACAACAATTTTTTGAAATGAACGAAAGCAATACAATAAAAGATAAATAAAAAAACATACAATTAAAACAATATATAAAAAATTAAATTAATAGAAAAGATTGAAATAAAATTAAAATTAATTAAATAAAATAAAGAAAAAAATATATATGCTAAAATAAAAAAAGGTGAAATAAAAAAATTAAATAAAGTAAAAATGAAATAAAAGAGTACAATAATAAAGCATAACATAAAATTAAATAGAAGATAAAACAATAAAATTATATAATTTATAATAAAAAAATTGTATTAACTTAATTTAAAAGAAATGATATAAAATAAAATAAAACGAATACGATTACATAAACTAAAATAAAATAATAAGAAATATAATGTAAAATTATATAATAAATTGAAGTAATAATTAAAATAAAACAAAATAAAATATAATAGTAGAATAATAAGAAAATTAAAATTACACAAAACAATGACAATATAAATTATAATAGAATGATATGAAATGATTAATATGAACAAAATGTAATAAAATAACCAAAAATGAATAAACCAAATAAATGATAAAAGTAAAAAAAATTAATAAAGTGATATAATATAACATTAAATAAACTAAAAAACAAAATTAAGTAATTTAATTAAAATAAAAAAATTTTAAAATAACATAAAATAAATTTAAAAAATTAAAAGAAATAAAGCAATAAAACAAAAGAAAAGAAAATATTAAAGACAAAATAAAATAACATTATATATAAACAGAATACAATAAAACAAAATTAAAAAGTAACACAAAATAAAATAAGAAAGTTATAATAAATTAAAATAAAATAAAACAAAACGAAATGAAAAATAATATAAACTTAATTAAAATAAAATACCACAAAATAAAATAAAGCTAAGTAAAAAATAATAAAATAAAGTAAAACAAATCTAAATAAGATAAAAGAAAATAAAATAAATAAACCAGAATGACTTAGATAAACAAAATAAAATAATAGAATATAATATTATAAAATAACACAAAATAAAAAACAAAAACTAAATATTATAATAATTCAAAATAAAGTATAAAACTTAAAGTATATAAAATATATAAAAAAGTGAAAAAAAGCAAAATTAAAAAATGAAATGAAATAAAACAAGAAGAAAAACTAACTTGAATTACTTGAAATAAAAGAATAAAATAAAATAGTATAAAGCAAAAATAAAATAAAATGAAATATAAAGTAAAAAAGCTCGAATAAAATAAAATAAAACACGAAAATTATATAAATAAAACAAAATAAGTAAAACCAAAAAATATCATGAAAGAATTAAATAAAATAATATACAAAATAACATAAACAAAATAAAATAAAATTAAATTAAATAAAATAAACAAAATAAGTAAAACCAAAAAATATCATGAAAGAATTAAATAAAATAATATACAAAATAACATAAACAAAATAAAATAAAATTAAATTAAATAAAATTAAATTAAATTAAATAAAATTAAATTAAATTAAACTAAATTAAATTAAATTAAATTAAATTAATGGAGTACTATAAACAAAATATTGTAAAACAACGAAAAAGAATTAAATTTTATCAATTAAAAATTAAAACCAAAATGTATTAATAAAATTCAATTGAAATAAATTTGAATAAAATAAAAAAAAAACTAAATAAATAATTCAAGTATAAAATTCGAGCGTGAATCAAATCAAATTTATTCAAAAAATCCAACACTGCAGCAATGAAAGTATTATTTAAAAATTTAGCTATAAACAAAATTTTTTAAAAATATCAAGATTAAAAATTACAAGTGTAAATGCCTCAAACTAAAAGCATAAGAAAATGCAATGAAAATATTCAAATTTTATCGATTTCTGAGAACATAAAGTCTCGAAAAAGCTTTTAGCGCTGAAAACTTGAAGTATATTAGCAAAAAAAAAATAATAGTTTTAAAACCTTATTCGATCAAAGAGCATATGCATTTAGTTAGGTTAAAAAAAATAATAATAAATAGATATACGAAAACTCAAATTGCATATACATATAAACCAATTGAATTGAAAATTAATTTAAAGCATTAAAAAATCGAAGTTATTAAAAGAAAATTCGAAAGTGTAAATAAAAAACTAATTCAATTTAGTAAATTTTGTAAACCTATCGGACTTGACAGTAAAATGCTTTTTGTTCATGCATGAATGTGCGCATAGAAAAAAATTAACGAAATAAGTTACATTTGTACATAGAAACACATTCGAATTAGATTTATAGACATTTACAAACTTTACATTATCAACCAAAACATACATATATCTAAATTACCCATATGTACTAACCTTTTTTTCATATTTCTTTGCGCTCATTTGTATTTAATTTAATATGAAAGTAATTTTAATTTAGCTTTTGGCCTATGCACCTATAAATATGCAGGCTTTAAATGCAAATAGTTATATAACATTACCAAGTAAATATAATAATATTATATAATATATTGTAGTTTTAAGTTTACCTACCCACGTATACCAAGCCAATGCGAGTATAAATTTGTAAAAAAAAATAATAAAAAATACATAAATACATTCGTACAAAATGTATATGAGTGTAACAAATTGTAAAGAATATATTCAATAAATATATACATATTTCAAATAAAAAGTAAATGTTTCTTCGCTGAGGCTCTATAAGTAAAATTTTAAGCGTCGGTAAGTATGCAACTTTATATGAACTAATTCAAGAAGGGACGGAACGAATGACCCGCTGATGTTGATTCGGAATGGCTTAGGCCAATGTGGACGCCCTAATAAGGTGGAACTTCCCTTCATTCACTTCAATAGGAAGCACAAAATTTCGTTTACGGAATGCACCTGAGTCTAGGAGCTTAATCAAAGTTTTAAGGAGTCATTCTAGGCAATAACCTGATAAATATTAGTAGATTGACAACCTACATACAGATTAGCAATACACCTTATGGCATCGCTGTGGGAACAGAAATTTTCCTGCTGCCAGAACATTCCAGAACATTCCAGAATATTAGAGAGTTATACTTTTTTGCCACACAGCACAGGTTGCTGCGATTATAGCCGCTACACATTTAC